CTCCAAGTGCTCCGTCGTAACCAGGCCCAGCGCTACCATGAAGGCGATTTTCTGAGGGAAGGAATCGGAGAAGGGTTAACACGGCTTTTCTGTTTTGAGGTTCCTTAGTGTGCACCTGATGCCCCTTCTCCATCCCAGGACCCCACCCAGGACCCCCCATCCCATCAGTCGTCCTGTCTCCTTAGGTCCTCGGGGCTGTGACGGTTTCTCAGACTTCCCTTGTTTTTGATGACCTTGGCCATCTGTGAGGAGTGCTGACCAGGACTCGTGCAGCACGCCCCTTGATTGGGGCCTGTCTGATGTTTTACTTGGGCTTAGACGGGGATGCTGGGTTTTACGGGGAAGCCAACAGAAGTGAAGCGACCTTTCCATCTCATCCCATCGGGGCCCGTGCCTTGACCGTGGCCGATCGCTGTGACGTTGGCCCCCATCACCTGGCTGAGGTGTGGCGTCAGGCGTCTGTGCTGTGGAGTCACTCCCCGCCAACCCCGCCATCCCCACTGTCCTCTTTGTCGGGAAGTCACTGTGCACTGATCACACTTAAGGAATTGGGGGGGTTTTGGTGTTTTGAATTTTTGTTTTTGGGTTTTTTTTTGGTCATGAAGACATTTTAAAAAATTGTAGTAAAATTTATCAGTATTTTGTTTTGCAGTGTTTGGATTTTTCCATCTTAGCTAGAGACCAAGTTTAGAAAGCAAGTTGCTTATGTTTTTATTTTAGTATCTATGGTTTCACTTCTTTAATTTTTGATCCCTTTGGAATTCATCCTGGTCTTTATGGCGTCTGTGGAGTCATGTTATTCCATACAGCTACGCATTTGTTCCAATACCACTTATTGAAAATTCCATCTATTTTTCATACTGACTTAAGGAGCTACCTTAATCATGCACTAAAATATCATATATACACCCACACACACACATACACACTTGGGTCTGTTTTTTTTTTTTGCTTCCTATTCTGTTCCTTACATCTGCCTATATATTCGTGAGCTGTGGCCTCACTTTTAGTATCAAGGCTTTACAGTAATATGATAGGATCAGAGTCCCTTCCTGCTTTTCCTGTTCAGAGCTTCCTCTTCTTGCTTATTTCTTCCTGTGAAATTTAGAAACCATCTTAGGCCATTCTGAGAATGAGAGAATCAGTTGGTCTATTTACTGGGCTGATGTTAAAATGATAAGTTAACTTAAAGAATAATGACAGCTTAATAACATTACATCTTCGCGTCCAAAACCATGGGATGCCTCTGTTCTGTCTGTCTTCAGGAGTTGCAAACATCTCCTCAAACGGGCGTTGAATATTTTTACGTTCATTTCAAGGCATTCCATCCTTCTGCAGCGATCACAAACGGGGCCATCTAGAAAGCATCCAGCAGGCTGCTACGTGTTTCTGTAGACTACTGATGTTTGCATGTTAACATCACACCCGCGGCAACGCCAGGTTCTCAAGTGTCTGCGATACTTTCTCCATCAATTCTCTTGGGTTTCTACATCATCTCAAATAACAACTGTCTACTCCTTTCCAATTTTTACTTCAATGCTGTTAAAAATAGTTCTCAATTTGTCAGCTTTAAATGATACTCTTTTGAGTCACTGAAAGTCCCAGCTCTACAGACGTGACAATCTGAGAGCTCACCCCTGCCACCTTCTCCCCATCCTTCCCTCTCCGTTCACGTAGATGAATCTTATACGTTGGTATTTACTGTAATCTTACACGTGTAATATTTACATTCTGTCCCGAAACCCTTATCCTGTTCCAGTTTTATTCTGTAGTTAAATACACACGATGTGCACCCAGCGTCGGTGCCGAACGTACCCCAATCGTCTAGTGGTTGACCAGGGTTGAGTTTCTAGCAGTGTTTTTGTGAATGGCTCATGGGAACAGCATTTCCTGAGTTCTTGGCGGATTTAAAATTCTTAGTCTGTCGCCTTTTAACGTGAAGGACAGCCTGGCTGGACTTAAGTCCCAGCTCTCTCGCCTTTCTTCCCGGTCTTGTCCACGATGCCCTCCTGGGTTCTGGGGCAGATGTTGCCGTGGAAAAGTAAGATGCCAGCCCAGTTGTTCTTCCTCTAAAATGACTTGCTTATTTTTGTCTGGATGCCTACAGGACCCTTTCGTTTCCATTAAAAGTGAGTGACTTGACTGGGCTGTGACCCAGTGATGACCATTCCCCCGGGTATAGGCACCAGCTTTCCCTGGGACCTGGTGGGTCCTTTCAGTATGGAAATGAAAGTCTTCTTTTATTTCAGTAAACTTTTCTTAAATTATATTTAAAAACACAGGGAGGCATCACCACAGCATGAAAAGTGGGGCCCATAAAATCAGTCCGAGACGTGCGCGCACGTTGACATGGGACTCACAAAGGTGGTCGAGCAGGAGGGCCCAGCTCAGCGGTGGAGCACGTGCCTAACATGCACAGGGTCCTGGGCTCCATCCCCAGTACCTCCTCTAAAAATAAAACAGACAAATAAATACTTAACTACCTCCTCCCCAAAATAAAAAAAAAATAAAAGTTAAAAAAAAAATGATCGAGGTGGCTGTAGAGCTGCTGAGACAAGGATTCTGGGGTCCAGCAAGCTTCAGCCAACAGATGCCAGCACAGGCTGCAGTTTGGTGGCGCCTGGTTTCAGTGTCACGTCTGGGGGCCTGTGCTGGACCGGGCAGTGGCAGGGCTTCTGAGAATCCGCCAGGGCCAACGCCCGCTTCACTGGCCTGGTCTGGGAA